CAAAATCACAGCTGTTTCCAGCTGTGCCAGGGTCTCAAATGCTTCTGACCTGGGCCCAGAACCTCCAAAAATGTCTGAGGGACATTTTGAGTTTTGACATTCCACAGCACCAGGGCTTTGTTCAGCTGTGCAGGTTTGGATGTACGCTCTGAACTTTCACTGAAGCCTCTTTAACTGCCCTAATTACCTGAGGCTCTAATTGGGGATCCAATCTTAGCTTGAAGGTTCTCTGTGCCTTCAGTTCCCAGCCTGCTGTGCTCAAAAAAATTTGTCTAAATCTGGGTTTCCTGGGTTTTTTTTCCTCACTTTTCCTGCTATTTCTGCTCTGGAGGGATCCCCACGATGAAGGTGTTGCTGTATTATTTCTCATTAGGATCTTTGAACCCCAAATCCTCCAATGGATTTATTCTAGATGGTCCATCAAGGATTTCTGAGCCCGGAAAATCTGAGAAATATGAAGACAGATGGGAGTTTTCTCTTAGGGAGTGAAGCTGAGGCACTGCCTGCCCCTAACCCCTGTGGCCCCCATACTGTGGCTGTTCATCTGTCATACACATGGGCAGCCCCTTTCCAGACCAAAAAAAAGCCTTAAAACCATCAGGAAATCACCTCCTGAACCCTTGATGTTGTTCTCCACCTCCAGAGAACCCTTCTTGAACCCTTCTGCCCATGCCACCAGTTTTTCCACTATTCCAGGGTCTCCCTGCACCTCTCTTTAACATTTTTTCCTATGTTTAGTGTGTTTTTTTGGTAGTATTTATTTAATTTCTTGCAGTTCCCCACAACCACACCTCCCTTCACGTCCCCTGCAGTCTGTGCTGGTGTTTCCCAAATCTGGCTGAGTGTGGGATTTGCATCCTGGCTATTGGGAGCATCTCTGTAATTTCCATTTGCAGCTCATAAACCTCGCTGCAAATTGTTGTGTGCCTCTGCTCTTAAATGGTTCTTACATCCCACACCACCTTTCTGAGGGATGTTGGAAGTGCTGAGAGTCAGGATCACTTTTACAAATAATAGTTCCCAAAATTCCTTGGAGACCCATCTTAATTAAAAAGGACTACAAAAGCATAATATCGTTATCACCACCTTCCAGCCATCACCTGATATTTTTTTTTCCTGTCATTTTCTCTGCAAATCCCTTGAGTTTGGGAGTGTCCATGTGGCTATGAAAGTTCTGCTCTTCCCCAAAAATTCCTTCCAGTGCTTCTCTGTAGGATTTCACTCCCATTCTTAAAAGGATGTCCTGATTTTTGGGGAAGAGGAGAGAAAGAATTGCTTTGGAAATGATCTTTTTTACTTCACAAACAAGCAATGCCACCTGGATGCAGCTCTGTAGCCCAAGGAAACAACTGGAATTTGGGTGCAATTTCTCACATTGGTTAATGCAGTGGATAAATGGATCTGAAATATTTTCATCTCATTGCATTTCCCTGCTGTGCAGAGTCTTGATGCACAGGACATCTCCCACTGCACATGGGAATAGAAACCAGCAGGAATTCCTCCAAGTCGCTGCCTTGAAAATGTGAAAATTACGGGATCAAACTCCTGCCTTTGTTCTTTTGATCAGTAGCAGAGCAGATTTTCTCATCTGGAAGCCAGTGTGGGTTCCCTGGTGAAGCTGTGCCACAAAATCCCTCCCTGTGTGCCCTGAACCCCTGGGGAGGGGGAGAATCAGCTCGTGGCAGCGTTCAGGCCACTGCTGAGGGTGTGTGGATAATATTTGGAAAGCCAGTGCTCTCCCAGCTCCTAAAAGCAATGTGAGGATGCAGCTTTTGTGGCACTGAGACACCTCTGAGCACACTTCCCTTTTTTCTGCCCACTTTTCTTGTGTTTTATAAGGCAACGAAACCACCATGCAAGCAATGTCCCTGCAAAAACAGATTTTCTGAATTGGAACAGCTGGGGTTGTTGGCTCTCAGAGCAGCTGTGCTGGATTCCAGCTCCAGAGGGTTTTCAGACACTCGATTGGCATCAGGACAAGAGCTCCTGTCTGGGCTGGTTCACAGCTTCTTCCCTGCTCTTCATTTCCAGTGGAGAACTGAAAACTTTTAATAAAGACCCAGATTTTCACGTTCCATTTCATTCCTGGATGGACAGCTGGAGTGTGAGAGTGGATTTATCCATCCATGCCTCTAATTGTTGGCCTGAATTTCAGTGGTCTGGGTTAATCTTATGATTTTGCAGAAGATCCCACAGGAACAGCAGGTTCTCATGTTCTCCTAACATGACAGAACACAGGGAATTTCTGCCAACTCTGAAATTCCTCAACAGCTCTGGGCTGGGTGTCCCACAGCCAGATTGCCTCCAGCCATGGCTGAAACCAACCTGCACAAACATGAAATGCAGAAATGCCCCAACAAAGGCAGGGGCAGCATCTGTGGAGGGATGGAGAATGGGAACGACCCAGGGAGGGATTGCTGGAGTTAACGGGGCGAGGCTTTGCTAACATCCAGGTCCAGGGCTGATCCAGGGAAAAAATGATCCAGGGAGAAAATGATCCAGGGAAACAGAGCATGGTCTCCACTGCCACAAATTCCTGTGCAAGTCTCAGCTCTGAGCTTCTCTGGGAAGCCACTCCACAACAAAATGCAAATTAATCCCAGCAAAGTTGCTGATCTCAGCCAAGCAGGTTGGCTACACCTCTTCCCTCCTCCTTTTGTGGCTTTTTTTTTTTCTTTGCAATTTTTTTTTTCCAAGCATTCCCCAGCTCCATCGCTACATGAAAGCTCTCAATTCAGAGCAAATTAATCCACAATCCTGTCTAAACAGAATTCCTGCCGGAGGCATCATCCTCTTGTTGCAACACTCGTCAAACGTCATTCCGTAATTACATGAAAACTGTTATTGCTGCACAGGCACACCCTGGGCTGGGCCCTGCTCTGCACACACAGCTGAATTTTGAAACAGCTCCCTTCCCCTGAAGCTCATGACTCCCATGTGATTAAAAGCAGCACCCTGACAGCCTGGGAGGTGGGTGCTGCTGCTTTGCTGAGGGAGCTGAATCTGCTGGGACGGTGCCCGCTGGCACAGGTGATGATGCCCAGCGCAGCCTGGACCTCCCCGCTGCCGTGCTCAGCGTGGCAGGGCAGGCTCGGGGCTGCTTGGAGGGGCCACCCTCAGCCCCACTCACCAGGTTCCCTCCCCTCTCTCTCCTCTCCTCCCCACAGACCGAGCTGTCGCTGCAGAAGGAGCAGCTGCAGCTGAAGATCATCGAGGTGGAAGATGAGGTGGACAAGTGGCAGAAGGAGAGGGACCGCATCAAGGTGCGTTTGTTCACCTCTTCCTGCTCTAACCACTAATTCCTTCTCCCTTCCTCTCCCACATCCTTCCAGCTCTTCCTCACTCCATCCCTTCCCCAGCCTTTATCTCATCGCTATCCCAAACTCCAGGCCAAATCTTGGAGACAACAACTCCCACTGAAGTCATTGCGACATTCCCTGCGGGGAGATCCAGCCCTGATACAAAACCAAGGCACCTCCCTGCTCTGGCTCCTTTTTTAGGTCCTTTATGGCCCTTCCATCACCAGTAGCCGGGCAGATTTAGAAACAAAATCCACAAATAACCTGCAGAAGGGCTCTGGGTTGCCCAAATTGAGATAAGACAGCAGGAGCAGATGAATTTACGCCAACAAATATCTTATTCATGGTGGAACAGCTTATTTCCATGCTGAGAGAAGGATCCTTTATAATTCTTGCACAGTGGTAAGGGTTGGAATAGAGTCATGGTATTATTTTTTTCATTTATAGCCTAACTGAATAAAGCAGTGAAAGCACAAGTTGGAGATACCCCAGAAAATTTGCATAATATTAACAGGCAAAGCCATTCTTCTCCCTTTTATGTGGTGCAAGCACATTGGCTCACCAGCTCTGCTTTTCATCTGCTTTATTATTACTATCATTATTATTATTATTATTATTATTATTATTATTATTATTACTGGAAACCTGACCTAGAAATTTTGACTCTCAATATAGTTACATTCCCAGTCCTTCTGAGGAATATTTCAGAGGCACCTCGAGGTCAGGCTTGTAAAAAGTGTTTCAGCATCCTTTGAAATGGTGGGAATTTGGTCCTCAGATTGTCCAGGAGCCAGAATCCTGATTTAGAATGTCACAGAGTGTTCTTAAGTGCCACCTGTGAGTGCATGAATTGAAATTGGAGATATGCTCTTACCGCTGGGAAGGCAGTGGCCTTTTTGGATTGCATCCATGTGATTATTGCAGGAGCAGGTATTGCTTCTCTTGGCACGGCTTTCCTGCAGCTGAGACTTGCATAGCTGGAGTTCCCATACCCTAAATGCTGAATCCTTGGATTTATCTCCCTCTGTCTTTCTGTCAGCAAAGAACTCAGTGAAATTTTAGTATTTTCTTGCTCCTCTTTCCTGCTGCCTCCTCTCCCTGCCCCTTCCCCATCCAGAATTACACCACCAACGAGAAAGCCACGGTGGACCAGCACTTCAAGGAGCTGATCCGTGACCTGGAGAGGCAGAGGGATGAGGTGAAGGCTGCCCTGGATCAGAGGGAGAAGATCGCCTCGGAGAACGTGAAGGAAATCGTGGATGAGCTGGAGGAGAGGGCGAAGCTGCTGAGGGAGGACAAGGAGAACAGGGAGCAGATCCACCAGATCAGCGACTCCGTGCTCTTCCTGCAGGTGACAGAGACCGCATTTCCCTTTTCTTTGTCCCTGTCAGGACTTTGGGATTTGTCCCAAAGACAATCCCAAAGAGGCAAAGCCATTATTCTCTTGGGATTTGTCCCAAAGACAATCCTGAAGAGACTTTGGGACAAATCCCAAAGACAATCCCAAAGAGGCAAAGCCATTCTTCTCTTCTTGGGATTTGTCCCAAAGACAATCCCAAAGAGGTGTGAACTCTCACGGTGAGATGGGGAGACTGAGTGGTGGTCAGAATCAAAATTTATTGTGGACTACATGTGCTTATAAACTTTTCTAGGAAGGCTAGTAATGTTTTATTACAATGATCGGGTTAATCATCACATAAACAAACTTACATGTTTCGCAGCAGCTCTTGCTTGCAGAAGTTGATTTTTCGTTTCCTGTCAGCCGGTTTTGATTCAACCTTCAGCTGGTCTTGATTCAATCCTCAAAGCTCTGCTTGTTCTTGCCAAGGCATCCTAATTAGCAGATCTCTTATGCTAATCAGGTCCAAAGTAGGCTGTGTCTTGTGTGCCAGTGTGAGCCTTCCCCAGTTCCCTGCACATCCTTGGCAGGGGTTCACGAGACATTTGGAGCTGTCCCTGCTCTGGTGGCTGAGGAATGGACTTGGACATGCCTTTGGTCTTTTATGGATGGCTGCAAACCATGGATAGAACATTCCCCTGCCCATCCTCCTTGCTTTCCTTGCACTTTTGGAATCTAACATCAACTACTTCCCTCCGATTCAGCCTCCACATTTTCATGCTCCTCATGAACTGCCATCCCTTCCTTCGGCAGGAATTTGGGGCTCTGATGAGGAATTACGTGCCCCCTCCATCCCTGCCAACCTACAGCGTGCTGCTGGAAGGGGAGAGCATGAGCCCGTCCATGGGGCTGCTCAGGGACGACCTCCTCAACGTCTGCATGAGGCACGTGGAGAAGATCTGCAAGGCAGACCTGGGCCGCAACTTCATCGAGAGGAACCACATGGAGAACGGTAAAATAACCCAAATATTCCCCTCCCTGCTTCCTTGGAGTGCAGGGTCAGGGTGGGTGAGGATGATGAGCACTCCTGGTGAAGAAGAAAGTAAGCAAAGAGCTGGGGGGAAGTGGGAGTAGGGACTCCTGTAGCTGGAATTAATTCTGGAATATGAGAGTTATTGGAACGTGAATTCTGGAATATCAGAGTTATTCTACCTCTCCTATGTGGGGATGGAATCGTTGAGCTGCCAGGGATTTAGGGTATCTCATACAGGACAGCAAATTGGCCCCACTTCCCTGGATTTTGGTTCATTTTAGGGTTTCATGTTTAGGATTTAATGGGTTCAGCCAATTCCTGTGTGGAGTCAATATTCCTGCCTGTGCCAGGCTCCAGCAAGCCCCTGGAAGTTTAGCAGGACATTTTCCAGGAGGGAAAACTCCACAGATCTGCTAAGGCAGCTCAGTGAAGGGTGAAGGCAGCAGCACAAAGGTGAATGTGTGATGGCAAGTTTGAAATCCTATTTGTACACTCAGTTAGCACATGCAGGGTGCTGGTGTGACATCAAATATTGGAAGTGCAGGGTTTGGAACTTAAAATACCCTGCAAGCACTTGTCAGGGAGAAGGAAATGTCTGAAAATCTCATTTTCCAAGTAAAAAGGGCTCAGTTTGGGTGTTCAGCTACAACTGGAGTGACTCTGGTTGTACTCCCTGTTCCACTTGGGACAGCTTTCCTGCCTGATTGATCCAGGGCGCTCCCCACACTTCAGTGATGCTTAAGGTGATCTTAAAGGTGAACAGAGAGGTCCCGGCCAACACCACAGCAGCAAAATTAATCTTTTACATTTATTATTATTATTATTTAATTGCTTCCTGATAATTACCTGTGGCTAAAGGACTTGTCTTGCATCAGGCTCACAGCTGAGATAAGGACAGGGCTCCACAATGGGGCTGTGCTGTCTGCACTCCCCAGGCTGCCTGTGGGAGAGCAAAATCCAAAAAACCCTGGGCACGTTGCCTAATCCCAGGGAATGACCTCTTGCCCCAGGAATAGCAGGGATGGCAAGGAGTGCTTATCTCACCTGGATTAATCTCTCAGCCATTGAGGAAGCCCAATACCAGGACAGCAGCGGGTGGTGTGAGGATAAATGGCACCCTGCTCTTCCAGGAGGATGTGGGAGTCCAAAAAATGCAGGGATAACCTCAAGGACATCTTGTGCAGCACAGGGGCTGAGGAACTCTGCTGCAAATCTGCAAAATCACTGATAATTCACTCAAATTCACTCAAAATCGCTGATAATTCACTCAAATTCACCCAAAATTGCTGATAATTCACTCAAATTCAATAAAAGAAATCTGCTGCAAATCTGTGAAATTGCTGATAATTCACTCAAATTCACTCAAAATCGCTGATAATTCACTCACATTCACCCAAAATCGCTGATAATTCTCTCAAATTCAGTCAAAAAAATCTGCAAAAATCTGCAAAATCACTGATAATTCATTCAAATTCAATAAAAAAAAATCTACAAAAATCTGCACAATCACTGATAATTCACTCAAATCCACTCAAAATCACTGATAATTCATTCAAATTCAATCAAAAAAATCTGCAAAAATCTGCGAAATCGCTGATAATTCACTCAAATATTTACTGGAGACCCCTCCTGTATTAATAATTCCACTGTCCAGAGCCATCATTCTCCATCAGACATGAATTAAATGGACCAGATCCTTCTGGACCAACCTTCCAGGAAGGTCAGGGGTCCCAGAGCGCTCCGGATGCACAGCGAAATGCAGGATTTAAAATTCTCCCTGCCTTTAAAGTAGCACCAGAAATTGAACATTACTTACTTCCATCACTGCAACATTCCTATTGAAATTCTCAACACTCCACATGCTCCAGAATTACCGAGAAATTTGACAATAACTCAATATCAAGAGAGGACAAACAGATCCAACAATCACTTGTGTGAGTTTTTCTTTCTTTCTTCACCTGAAGCTGTGCACAATTTCCATTTGCTGGGCTGGGTTTTGCCAGTCTTGGAGCATTTTTCTTGGGCATTTTTAAAACCCAACAAGGTTCTGCAGTTCTGGTAGCTCAGGATAAAGCCTGATTACTTGTGGATTATTTTAATTGGGGTCTCCTCCATGTTACTGATGCTAGAAGTCATCGTTTTTTATTTGAAATCCATGGAATCCAAGTGCCATCACCATTTTTTAACTCCTGCCAGAAACCTGGGCGCTTCCAGGAGCTTTCCCAGGGACTCAGCTTGGATTCTGCCCATTTAATGAAAAGTTGGGAACAGGTGGGAAATGTTATTTATGGCGAGTCCCAGGAGCTTCAGAGCTCTCCTTTCTCCAAGCCATGGTTACAGATGAAAGAGGGCAGCACTCTGCATCCAGTGGCTGCGAGGGAATTAAATCCATTAAGGAACTGTGGAGTTATTAACTCGGACTCCCCCTGAGTCACTGCAACAAATTCATTTGCAGCTGGCTTGATCTTCTACTGTAAAAACCTTCCCAGGAAGAAATATTATATTAATGGAATGAAAGCTGCTTAATAGCAGACTCCAAAGGGAATCCATGTCCTTTTAGTTGTCATAACAGGTACCTGTGTGGTGAGGAGACAAATAATCAGGGAGCTTAAATAGCACCGAAATAAATGGGAAAAATAAAAGAAAAGTTTGTTCAGTGACTTGAGAATCAAAGAATGGAGCTATTTAAACATAAAACGTGAATTTACTTCCTTGCAGAGAACAATAGGTTTATAGAGAGCTTCAAAGAATGTTTTTATGGGTGAGTTTAGTGATAAAGGCTCATTTCCTGTGAATCAGTGTCAGAAATCCAAAGCCAGGCTGTGTAGGAGTAAGTCTGATCCATGAAACCTGAGCCAGCCACCGTTGTCCAAGAATTTAGAGCTGTTTGCAGCTCAGCTTTAGCATCTCTCTCTAAAAACTGGAGAAGCCAACCCATTGAACCCTCCCAGAAATGATTTCTGGAGCTTTAAAGAGTGGCTGTCCTCCATCAGCCAGGCTGTGCTCAGGCTGAGCACACAAAAGGAGCCAAACTCAAACTTTTGCAGTCATTTTTAGCCCCACAAGAGCATTCTGGTAGGAAAATGCCTCAACCCTCAGGTGTCCCTATGGATTTTAGAAGATCCTGTGGCTGCTGCGAGGTTGAATGCTTCAACTGGGCTCTGTCTTTGAAGGAACCTCTTATTTTAGACCCTGGGCAGCTCCAGAACTGCTTTAGCTCCCAGACAAAGATCCCACAGGGGGATTTAAAGACCCCCAAAGTTCATCCCCGAGCTCATGCCCTGCTCTGCCTCTCCAGGGGACCACCGGTTCATGATGAACAACTACGAGTGGAACCAGCCCGACAACCTGAAGAGATTTTCCATGTTCCTGTCTCCCAAAGGTAAGGATGGCATCCCACAGCTGGGCAGGCTCCCTTCCAGCTCAGGAAAGGAGCTTCACTGATGATCTAGGCCAAAATTTCCTCTCCCTCACATCTCAGATCCATCCCTCGGCGTGTTTTGTGTCCAGCTTACAGAGCTTTGACAAGGTTTTGCCTCAAAGCAGGCAGAAAAGGTTCTCAGTTTTATGGGGAAGAGCTGGAGTGGCTGAACTCTATCCAAGAGTGAATATAGGGGAGTTTTAACATGGGTTTCCAGGATAAAATCAGTGTTTTTCTCCACCCAAAGCTTATCTCTCTGTGCTATTAAGAAAGCTTCACTGAGCATTAAGATTTTACTTTCAGTACCAAACATAATTTTTCCTTACAGGGAAAGGACAGAAGAAGTGAGGAACATGTCCTAAAACAAAACAAAACAAAACAAAACAAAACAAACAAAAAGCAGGAGTCTGGAGCTCCCCTGTGAGCCCTGACATGAGCCCTGGTGATTTGCTTGTCCCACTTGTGTGGCCACTGCAGGATGAATTTTTGGAGTGAACCAATGTTTCCAACACATCCAGCTCTAAAACCACAGTTGGCATTCCTAAATTTGCACCCAGAGCAAGGAGCTGAGAGTGCTGAAAGCCCAGGCAAGGCGAGGGACCGAGGAACAGGAAGGGTGGCACAAAACAAGTAACCAAATTTCAGCCCTGGCCGGGTTTTCCAGGTGTTCCCAGCTGCTGCTCTGCAGACAGAGGGTGGGCAGGGACAGGGACATGGCAGCAGGGACAGAGACACTCATTGAGGGCACATTCCTGCCCTGTTTTGGAATTTCCTGAGGATAACCCAGACCCCAGTGCTGAGCCCTTTGTCTGTATTGCCACTTTGCCCTTCTCCTCTGCCCTCAGCCCACAGCTCCGTGGCAGTCCTGAGGATGTTTGGAGCAGGGCTGGCATTCCCATTTCAGTGCCAGCAGGACTTGAGCAGGTTTCTTCCCAAGTTCAGGGGCAGAGGGGTGTTTTTGTAGGGTTGGGTTTGTTTTTCTGCTCTCCTGCCTCGAGGTTTGCAGGGAAGTTCTGCTGAGACCACAGACTCAGCTCTGCACCTGAAACTTTCCAACCCTGAGGGAAGTTTGAAAACCAATTTTAACATAGCACAAGCTGAGCTTATCTCTACCCAAAATCTGGAGCTTTCAGGTGGAAACAGCCCTAGAGGCATTAAAGGGGTGTGGCAGGGAGGAGCACTGGGCAATGTCATCCCTTGGGATGGGGATACTGCCCAGCCTGGCAAAAAGGAAGGGCCAAAAGAAGCAAAAAGCCATTTTGGCAGTGGCACAGCATGGTCAGTGCTGTCAGGAGTGCCTGAGCTTCCCACAGCTGGGAGAAGAGGCTCCAGCTGGGATCCAGCATTCCAACTTGCTGGAGATCCAGGAGGGATCCCCAGGCACTGCCAGATCCACGTGGTGATTTGTGTCCAGAGGGCTGCACAGTCATCCCTCTCCTCCTGCTGCCTGCCCAAATGCTGGGGGATGCTTTATCCCACCTCCACATCCCGGGGGATGCTTTATCCCACCTCCACATCCGTGTTTTCCTGGAAACACAGAGAGTGCTGCCTTCCCAGTTACTCACTCTGTGTTTTCCACCAACAAAGTGACTGTGGCCAAAACAAACAAGCCCAGGACTGCACACAGAGCTTGTGCTGCATGGGGATTGAGCAGAGCCCAGCAGGGCCAGGCTCAGGAGGGATCCAGCTGCTGGAATTTGGGGAGCAGGATGAATCAGTAGGCAAAGCAGGAGGTGACCCACTTGGCTTGCAGGCTGGCTAGCCAAGGATCACCCTATGAATAATGCAACATCCCCATCATGGTTTAATTCTCCGGAGCTCTCTGTGCCCTGTCACTGTGGCATCAAAGCCCAGCAGTGCAGTTGATTTCATCTTTGTTAAAGAATCCCAAAAAATGGGAGGGGAAAAATTAGGACCACCCTTGGCATTGTGTAACAACCTTGGAATCCCTCAATATCTCATGGATGCAGCTTTGACACACACCCTGTTTCTGGCTAGGCTGGGTCCCTGCAGATTCTGCCCCAGGCCGCAGTGGAAAGTCTGTTTGTTGGACTGAGGAATGCTCTGTGCTAATTACAGCAGCCCAAACTGGGGAGCTGCTTCGATTCCAGCTGAACCTAGTGGTTTTAAGCCCTGCTTTAAGTCAAGACTTCCACTGCTCTTGAGTGTCATAATAAACTGCTTCAAACTGAAAGAGAGGAGGTTGAGAATGGGATATTAGGAAGAAATTATTCCTGTGATGGTGGTGAGGCCCTGGCACAGAGAAGCTGTGGCTGCCCCTGGATCCCTGGCAGTGTCCAAGGCCAGGTTGGATGGGGCTTGGAGCAACCAGGTATCCCTGCCCATGGCAGGGGCTGGAATGGGATGATTTTTAAGGTCCCTTCCAACCCAAACCATTCTATGATCCCGTACTTGCTTGCAGGGATGACAAGATGAGGCAGAGTGGCATAAAACATTTCAAACACTGCCTCAAAGACAAATGAACAATCTGTTCAACTGCTCCACGCTCCTTTCTGTCCTCTCCCACTAAGCTTTCTTCTCCTGATGTGTCAAACAGTTTGGCCAAAGCCAGGAGGAGGTTGGAAAAATCATCTTTGAACGAAGAGTGGAAGGGACCCAGGCACACAGATAGAGAATTGTGTAAAGAGAAACACATCTAAACCAGAGAAGCAGCCCACAGGATGGCAGCAGAGCAGCTCCAAGAATCCATCTTCTTTTTGCTTTCCTGGGAGCCCAGTGCCTCCCCAAAGGGCTGCAGCAGCAGCAGTCGGTGGAAGCCTGGGGCACGCACTGGCACAGGGCTGGGAAATGTTCCTGTCCTGGTGTCTTTGGAGCTCTGAACCCACAGCTCTGCCTGAGTGCCCAAAGCTGAGCTGGCAGTTTCCTGCAGCTCCGTGGCCTGAGAGCTCTGCTCACTGCAGGAGAAGCCTGCTCCCCATTCCCTACCACCCAGGGATAAACCCAGGTTCTCCTCTGCTGCCTGGGCCCAGATTTCTGTTTTGGGGCTGCTCCCAGCTTGGTGGGGACCTTTCCTAGAGCAGTGCCAGGCACAGGCCTCTGAGGCAGCTCGTCAGGAGCCGACTGCTGAACTGGATGCTCTTGTTTTGCAGCCAATTTCAACCCACGGTCATGGGAATTTTCCTCCTTCCAAGCGACCGAGGAAACACTTGGTACGGGTAATTCTGCCTTCAGTTTGAGAGGATCTAACCCCCCGTGCCACAGCTTTCTGCCTGACTAACCCACCTTTCCTGCTGCCCCTCTCGGCTGCCCTGGCGCCTGAAAACCCCAGAGCCAGCTCCTGCTGGGCTGGCAGCACTGTCTGCAGTGCTCTCAGTGCTCAGAGGAGGGAAAGGCACCCCTGCTTCTCCCTGATCACAGAGAAACGAGGTGCAAAACACACCAGGCAGCTGGCAAAGATCCCCAGGCCCTGAACATTCAGAGCGCTCTGAGGAGGTTGTGGCAGAAGAAGGGGGAGACTCCAAACACTCCCAGCCACTCTCAGAAGCACAAGGTGCTTCTTTCTATCACACCTTTTACGAATAAATTCTCAAAGACACAGCCTGGCCCACGTTCATGCCTTTTCTTCCCAGATCCCCCATCTTCCTTTTCCAACATTTTCCTCCTCTGCTTCGTTCCTATGAGGTCCAGCTCCAGCCTTTCCCTCCGTGCTGGAAGCAGCCAGGCAGAGCCAGCTGGGGAGTTCTGGTGACCCCAGCCACACCTCAGCCCCTCCTGCCTTCCCCAGGCAGGGCCATGTCCCTCTCATCTGACCCTGAGGAGGCCAGGAGGGGAAACTTTGATGGTCTGAGTGAAGCCTGCCATCTCCCTGTCCTCAGATTATTCTGGCAGCCAGGGTTTGACCCTGAAGAAGGCCAGGAGGAGAAGTTTGAGTGGTCTGAGTGAAGCCTGACATCTCCCTGCCCTCAGATTATTCTGGCAGCCAGGACCTGACCCTGAGGAGGCCAGGAGGAGAAACTTTAATGGTTTGAATGAAGCCTGCCATCTCCCTGCCCTCAGTTTCCTTCTGGCAGCCAGGGTCTGACCCTGAAGAAGCCAGGAGGAGAAACTTTAATGGTTTGAGTGAAGTCTGCCATCTTCCTGCCCTCAGATTCCTTCTGGCAGCCAGGGTCTGACCCTGAAGAAGCCAGGAGGAGAAACTTTAATGGTTTGAGTGAAGCCTGCCATCTTCCTGCCCTCAGATTCCTTCTGGCAGCCAGGGTCTGACCCTGAAGAAGCCAGGAGGAGAAACTTTAATGGTTTGAATGAAGCCTGCCATCTTCCTGCCCTCAGATTATTCTGGCAGCCAGGGTCTGACCCTGAAGAAGCCAGGAGGGGAAACTTTGATGGTTTGAGTGAAGCCTCCACTGCTGGGAGGAAGGGCAGTGCTGGAGCCATCCCTCCTGCCCCGGGAGGTGCAGGAGCTGCTGCTCTCCGGCCACACCTGAGCTCTGGGGCTCTCGGGAGAAAGGCTGGTCCCACACACAGCCACCTGCCCTCGCCTGCCTCGTGTCCCTGGGAGAGCAGGGACAGGGCTGTCCCCGCCGTGCCCCCAGCCAGGTGAAGGCAGTGTCACAGGTGTGTTTGGAAATGCCCCCCTGCAGCCCCGTGGAATAACGCCGCCTCTTTATCTTCCAGTAGGCAATGGCACTAAGCTGCCTTTTCAGTTCTCCTCGGTGGGACAGAATCCGCCCGGTGACTTCAGCAAACAGTCTGATGGGAGCCTCTTCACTAAGACCGGTACTAGGAACTGAGTGTTCCCCTTCCTCCTGCCCCTCTTGAGGTGACAAACCCCCCTAATCCTGCTCTGCCTTCCTGGAGCAGTCCTGCGCCTTGGTCTGCCTGCCAGTCCCTCAGGCACCTGCGCAGGAGCAATTCTGCTGAAACAGGGCAACAAGGAGTGTTCAAAAATATTAAAGTTTTGTC